CCCTCCCCTCCAGTATGATCTGATTCAGATCCATCGTTCCCACTTGTTAAACACACTTCAGAATCTATTCTTTTCAAAAGAACTGCCAAGAACTAGAGTCAGGAAACAGTGGGTTTTTTGCATTTGCCTCACTTCATCACAATTACAGTCGAGCTCAATAGGATTGGAACTGGTTTCAAGTGGGAATGACAGTCATATAACTCAATCTGCAATTCGCTTTAAATTATAGTGGGAATGAGGTCCCAGTGTCTCTTTTAAGAAAAAGTAGAGCCAAAAATATTTTGCTGATTATTTAAAGAGCAATGGGAAATACAGACTCTAGCTGACTGACAGGTACAGAAGACATGTCAGACTAATACCAGCAAGCACAGATTTCTGCACATAACTGCATTAGAAAAAAGAACAAACTAGAAACATTAGGTTTAGAAGTGGGGAGGAAGAGTAAAAGCGTGCTGGAGACATGTGGCTGTTGGGTTAAACTAGAAGCAAAAGAAAGCCTTGAAAAGTCTGAAGAAAAGAGATGAGGATCTGATTGAGATATGTATTGGCTGACTTCTTTTTAGTGAAGGGAATGAAAATGTCAAGGAGTCCTGGTTTCTTGAAAGAACTGTGGAGGACTTAGTAAGCTGCAGTGGGGGGGGGCACCAAACTAGACTCTCCAAATGATGGCACTCAAATTACTTTGGATATCATTGACCTTTTAATATTCATAATGCTTAAATGTTCCAGCATTAAGAAACACTTGAGGGGAGCCTTTTTTAAAAGGTAAAAACAGAACGAACATGAATCCATGGAAAAAGGTAGCTCAAACTGTTCTCTCAACACAAAGGTGTCATGCTGCTATCAGAGAATGGGGAAAGAAAGTTTTCATGTATTTGAATCTGAGGAAAGAGAAGGAGATAATGGGTTTAGAACTGCAGCAGCCTACTGTGGGGCCATGTATAAGAAATTGTGGACTAACTATAAGAACACTCTAGAAATTGGGTTTTCAATTGGGCAGTTTTAAAAACAAGTCATGGGGTTTGGATGACATTTGATTCCTCTCTTCAAAGCAGAGAGTTGAGGTAGAAGCTTATGATGGTTTTTTCTAGGTTCCAGTTATTCTAGATATAAGATGTGGACTCCATGATGAATTCAGTGACTACATTTCCATCATCCAAGATATGAACCTGTTGGGCTTCAGACTTACAGTGACTTTTCTATCTCTGCAAAGGGAGAAACCAAATAGGATGGTCTCTCCCTGGAAGTTTGTGGAATCCAGTGAATTAAAAGAACCTTGGGTAGATTCCACCTAGTATCTGAATTGTTCTTCTCATTCTTGTAGAATTCAAAGATATAGCCATGCTAGTCTGTAGAATCAGTATATATAGAGTTCTAAGTCTACTTCCTCAGATGCGTTTGGTGGGAATGATCTCTCTACATTCTAATTCTTAAACTCTTAAGACAAAACAAAAGACAAATCCCATTCTGTAGGATAGGAAAATAAATGAGGTGAAAAATATTAAAAATGGATTTCCTGGGTAGATATGCTTGTGGCAGGAAATAGTTTGAGGGGCATCATAAAGTATTAATTATCACCTTTTAAAAATTTTGACAGAAAGTTTGTTTTGATTTGTAGTTGCTAACTTATTTCTACATAGTCACCATCCAGATTTACACATTTTTCCCAGCATTTCCTGACCATCCAACTACCATTATTGTAGAAGTCTGCAGATTGCACCTTAAACCACGCTTCCACTTCATGAATGATGTTATCTGTGTTGTCAAATTGGTAACAGATTTTTCATTTTTAGGAAAAGAAAAAGTCTCTTGGTGATGATGACACTGACAAAATTTCATCAATATACCATAATAACCTCTGATAATTATTACTTTACGATACCCCCTTGTACTTCTCTATCTTATACTTTAGTCACTTCTGGCACAACCTGTAACAAAATAAAGCACACAATGATTTTCTCAACATCATGCACTTAGGGACAAACGATGACTCTAACAAAATTTCATCAATATACCATAATAACTTCCAGGTGATAATTATTACGGTACTTTATGACACTCCCCTCGTACTGTGAATTCTCCATTATGTGGGAAATAATATTATAATGAAAATCTCAAATACTTCTTTCTTTCTCTATTTCTATTAGACCACCAAATGAACCCCAAAATTGACAGACCTCCTCACATAAGTTACATTATACATACATAGTCATAGCTATATATATATATATATATATATATATATAATACTTGAAAACATGAAAAACTTAAATACATAAAAACTACCAAAGCACAATTGTTCATCTCCAGCTCTATGCCTGAAGGCAACATGTCAAAAAAGTATTATTCCCCAACTGTAAGGAAGTTCCAGAGACCATTTAGTTTCCTTTAGCAGAAAGAGCATTAGAACATATAGTCTTTGTAGCAATACCTTTATTTGCCAGTATAACAGTTTAGCAGGTCAGAAGCAAGCACACAAAGAGGAAGTTTGTCTTACATAGCACTGTCTGTCCAATACCTCAAAATTCAGAATCACTGCTCTGACATCAGGATCTCAAAGCTGCTCCTCATATACTACGTGGACAGTATTGTTATATAATTTTATCTCTAGGTGGCACTGGACTTATATATATGGGTGCAGCCTGGAATTTTCTGTCTGGGCTCTAGTCTTGGTGGACAGACTACAATCCATATAGGTTCTTGTCTAGAATCCTGATTGAAAAGTCCTTCCATGACATATATTCGCTGCCAAATTTGGACAACTAATTCCCAGGCCCCACAACCAAAACAGAGCACTACTGCATATAGGGTTTTTTTTGGGGGGGGGAGGGATCCAACACTGAGACACGCTGTTTGATTTACCATTGTTGCCATCTCTTTCCAAGTTATACCAACCTTCGGAACATGGCTTGGCAACCTGTGCCCTCCAGATGTTGCTTGACTCAAAATTTCTACCAACCCAAACCACTCTGACCAATGATGGGGATTAGGGGACTTGTTGTTCAGGAGCAACTGCACAATTGGAAATATCCTGCCTCTGGTTTAGAAGTTAGAAGCACAACTTTGTCTACCACCACTATTTCTTGCTCTTTCTTCAAGACTAACAATGGCATTCTATTCACAACCAAGCTCAGAACTTTCTTCCCCTTTGTAATCCTTGTAGATATAGATATAGTAAAAAAAAGTAATAATAATGGTAACTGACCTCTGGTAATATTTACATGAACTTATCCTGTTATGATAAGTAGGTCCAGTCCTCTCTAGGGCATACAGAGTGATATTACCAGGAATCTGCAGAACTTAAGAAAGTTTCAGGGAAGAGAACAGAAAGCCCATAAACTTCTGCAGCAACTCAGAGAAACTTTCAACGAGATTGGAAATGTATTCATGTTGAAAATATTGAGTCACTAAGCCTTCAGACTGCATTCCAAAAGTCTACCAGAAACATTTCAATCAAGAGTGCGAGTGTGAGACAGCCAAACCATTCGGGCTAAAAGGCACTGTGCAGAATTATGTTGGTGAATCTAGTGCCCTCCAAATGACCTCATATTATAGCCATGGTATTAAGTCATGGAGAAACCTGTAAGTAAGATGAATATTTTTTTCTTTCTTTAAAAAAAGTAGAAAAGGAAAACCTCCTGAGTTCCCAGTAAGAATGCTAAATTACCCCTTCTCCCAATGGAATGGTTCACTTTCATTTCCAAGTAGCAGTAAGCCTATTGACCCCCTCGGTGTTATCCTTCTCACTGCTCATGCAGTACTTTCTTTAATCTCTTGGATCAAAGATTGGTCAATAAAAAATCATCCTTGCTTTTGTGGGGAGCAAACAAACTACACTCGGTCTTATGATAATTGTAAATCTACACTAAAATCTTTGAGAAGGCGGGGGGGGGGGACCCTTCAACTTAACCATACTAGTGGAAATATATTATTCTGTGAAAAAAACAAACCATTCAAAACCAGCTTGTTTTGAATCTTCACAAATCATACCGTATCCCCTGAATGAAATTATTATTATTATTACAAGTCTTTGCTCATTGTCTACTACCCTCAAAATAACAAGAGTTAATGCAGTGTATTAATTTGCTGTGATCTCAAGATTCAGATGTGGTTATAGTCCCACAGCAGCCATGGGGCAACTGAAAACACAGACATATTTTACACCGCATACAGCTTTGCACAAGGGGCAAGTGTCAGCCTGGTGATTTGTGCATATGCACAGGGAGGAGGAGGGTTACTTTATTTTATTAAAATATTTCCATTCTGCCTTATGTCTGAAGGTTTCAGAGAGGACGTTACAGTCAATTAAACACAACTTTAAATTTCTTAAGCAATTGAAACAGCTAAAATCTATTCAGAAGAATCAAAACAGAGCCCAAGCCATGATTAATAAGCCCCAGAAATATGGACACCTTTTCACCCAACACTGAAATGTGGTCAATATCAGTACCAAGAGGAGGCCATCCCACATCCAGGGCACCGGCGGCATCTCCTACACTGCTCCCAATAGTGAGATAGAAAGAAACACCCTCTTAACATATTACAATGCGTGGGCAGGTAACTATAGGGAGAGGCAGTCTATCACTCTCATCCTTGTTGCTGTGTGCGTTCAAGTCATTTCTGATTTATGACAAGCCTAAGGCAACCCTTTCATAGGGTTTTCTTGGCAGGATTTGTTCAGAGGAGGTTTGTCATTGCTTTCCTCTGAGGCTGAGAGCATGTGGCTTGCCAAAGGTCATCTGGTAGGTTTCATAGCTGAACAGGGAATTGAATCCTGGTTTCCAGAGTTGTAAAATCGAGCACTCAAACCACTATGCCACACTGGCTCTCAACCTACCCATCCTGAAACAAAACCATGTAAGGCTTTGAATGCCATCGTGCACATGTTGAACTTAAATCAAAGGCACATTTCTATACCTCTGCCTGTAACTAGGGATGGAAGAAAATTCAAAAATACCCCAAATAACAGTAAAAAAATGTTTTTGAGTGTCAAGCAACATTGATGAGAAGAACCCTGGATTGATGAGCATCTTCACAGTTCAGGACTTATTCTGTGTAAAACAGAAACTTCAACAGCATTAAACTTTAACATCATTTAATGTTAAACCTGTTATGTTACTTTAATGTTAAACCTGTTAATGTTAAACTTTAACAGCAGTTCTGTTAAACACAGAAACAGCATTTTCTGTGAGGAAAATAATATTTCCACATAGAAAATTACGAGCATAAATTGCTTTTTTTGTGCACAATAAGTCTCAAGCTACAAACAAGGCTTCAAAAACTGCAATTTTCAAAGAGTTTCTCACAGCAGGAAGAAAATTGGCAAAATTACTTGTTGCTTCTTTCAAGAATAAAACTGGTGAAAAACTACATCTCTATCTACAACCTACCATTAATTCTGACTGCATACCTATTAGAATTGTACGTATATGTTTCAAGACTTCAGGGAGAGAATGCCATAGATAGATAGATAGATAGATAGATAGATAGATAGATAGATAGATAGTAGAAAGTGCTAATAATACATAAATGGGTCAGTAAAAAAAAAGGTCAAAGAGTTGGTAATGTATTAATAATGGCACCTGCATTAATCAAAAATATGTTATTTTTGGAAACTAGTGACATCTTTGAGAGAAAGAGTAAGGTTAACAGGGCAGTATAGTGAAGTATCACGTACACACAACAAAAATACATCTGGAATTAGTGGATTGAAAATAAGAGGTGCACAGATGAAAGAAAGTTTACAAAAAATAATTTTTGAGATAAACTTTTTAAAATGTGTGATACTTTGGAATTATGTCTTTCTGAGGCAGTATTTATAAATGTAATTGTATGCAGCAAAACAAAGTAATGAACAAACCTGCCAGGCTTCCAGCCAATGAATTAGCTGATCAGTATGTTAAACCAATTTGGGATATTTAGCCTGTCCCATGCCCTAGCCACACTAACCAACACCACCGCAATTTCTTTGTCCCTTTTTCCTCCAGTTAAGGGTGCCAGTTCACAATGCTATGCTGAAAAGCAGATGGTAGAATGGACAAAATTCCCCTGTCAGAGTCAAGAATGCTTTATCTAGCAATCATATGTCCCCTTGGTTTTCTGAGGATGCATCTACACTGTAGACGTAATGCAGCCTGGCACAACTAACTACCATGGCTCCATTCTACAGAATCCTGGGATTTGAAGCTTTGTGAGGCACCAGTACTCTTTTGCAGAGAAGGCTAACGATCTTGTAAAACTACAAATCCCAGGATTCCATACAATGAAGCTACAGAACTTAAAGTGGTATCAGACTGCAATATTTCTACAGTGTAGATACACCCTGAACCACAGTCCCCTGCACCCCAAACCTCCAACATATGAGCATCCCTTTCCTACCAAGAGTCCTCTCTGAACCCTAGGCATATTTTACCTGATCATATTCTTTCTTCACCCTCTTGTTTTCAACAACCTTTCTTTCCCCAAGCCTAGCAAACTTTACTTCACTTTCTTTAGCTCTCCCTTAGGCAGTCTCTACTGGAAAGGCCATTTCCTCTTGACCTTGAAAGTTGGTCAGTTCTTCAAGGTCCCTTCTCCTTGCAGCTCTTTCTTCGTGGAGTTTCTCATATCCTCTTTGTTTGTTTTTTCCACCTTTTTATTTTTATTTTTTGCATAGCCTACCTTTTCCTCAAATTCCATTTGACCATTATTTCGCTGACTCCTCTATATCTATACCATTGCTTTAACCATCTTGCATCTGAGCTTTCATTTCCTTTGTTTATTCCTTCCTGAGATGTCTTCTCACCTATCATCCTGCAAGATCTATGTGACATCTTAGCCCTAGTCAAACTGATTGCTGCCCATTCCTCCCCAGTCCGGATTTCAGATAATCCTACAATTTTGTATTCTGGCAATTGGAATATTGAGTAACATAGTGTGAGATCACACCACTTCTCTGAATTAATGTCACTGACTTCACTACCATGAGCCAAATACAGTGCTCAGGATCACTGGTGTCAAAGAGAGAGATTTAAGCACACTCTAAATTTTCCCTTTGAAACAAATGATAATTTGCTTAATTTAGGGTGGCTATGCTAATCTTTTTAAACTCCAGCTTCTTCTCCACCCATAGCGTGACAGCTTTCTATGAAACAGTCATGCGTGAGTCATGTACCTTGTTGTTGTATGCCTTGAAATCATTTCCAGCTTATGGTGACCCTAAAGTGAACCTATCATCGGGATTTCTGGAGCTGAGAGAGTGTGACTCACCCAAGGTCACCTAATGGGTTTCCATGGCAGGGAATTGAATCCTATTCTCCAGCACTGTAGTTATGCACTCAAACTACTACACCACACTGGCTCTCATCATATACCGACCCTTACATATGTTACTCAAAATACTATAAAAGAAGCTAGCAATGAAGGAAAGAGATAGCACATTTGACAGTAGACCATGAACTGGAACTATTTGAACTGGAGATTTCTTTTTCTGATGGAATAGCAGAAAGGGCTGTCTGAAATATACCACTACTCTCATGTAAGCATTTACAGAGCTAGGAAAGTTACTTTTGAAAACTAATTAGTTACAGTTATAGTTCTGATACCACTTTTCTATTTCTTAAAATATAACTCAAATAATTTCAGTTGGTAAATATATGTAAATATATATATCACTGCTGCAAGCTGCTGGTCTATGATATGAGACGCACGCTCATCCACTCCACTTCATTGTTGCTTCAATACCCAGAACATTGTTGCTTCAGTTCTCCTCCCTGACATCCTTATAACTATAAAAGTAACTAAAAGTTACAATTACTCTACAACAGGGTTAAATTATTCCTCATTGTCACCATTATATTTAATTGGTTACACTTGGTTACAATTTGTTACAATTACTGGGAGAAAGGAGTTAAGTTACAAGTTGTTTATTATTTCAGAATATTTCTAGCAAACATTTGTACTTTCAGGTCTGAGCATGCTATACATCAGAGTCAAATTATTACTATGGATAGCCATTCTCAAACCTAGGTCAAGTTCACTAGTTCATGGTTCTCAGAGCAGAGAAAGAAGATGGGGAGCAGATCAGGTATGACTTGGGGATCGAACGTGCATCAGGCCATGTCTCCAAAGCCAGCCATGTCTCATTTTATGATGTCAGGAGAGCCACCAAGGACACTTCATAAGGGCTCCTCTCAAAATGGAAGCCAATCCTTTGTGATTTTTCTGTCTCAAGCTCCAGAACCCTTATGGTCTCCTGGTGATCCCTTTTCTTGAGCACAAGAAAGAAAACACTGAGAGAAGGGTCTTGTCTTAGTCTTGAGCAGACTCCCATTGAGGTCAAGGCTTATGCAAGAAACAGAAACATTTAACCAGCTGTCACAGTTACAAGAGTAGGGTAAGTTGCAAGACTGGGCCAATTCCTTGCTAAAACCTTTTACTTACTTACTTACTTATTTATTTATTTTGCCAGTCCCTCCTTCATATCCTGTTCAATAAGTAATACCAGTCTTAATGGCCTTTTCAACCTGTACTCATACATCGATCTCTCCCTTTCCACTCAACTGACTCTGCATAAGACACTCCCTGCTGAGCTTGACTGTCAAGCATTCTTTACAGTCAAATCCTACTCTAAAATTCTACCGCAGCATTTGTAAGATACTCCAAAAAGATTTATTCTTTGAAAGAAAATGAACATATAACCATTTCCTTCACACAGCGGTATGCTTCTTATTGTGGAAAGAGGCACAGATTTCAATTGCTTTAAGCTAAGAAAAAGGAGCTTTATGCCTCATCTTTTGGTGAAGAAATACCAGTAAGTTGTTTCCAGATAACAGAAGAACAACTGTTACCAAGAAGGCCCTTTTGTTTTATTGTTTGATACCACGCTAGAAATTATGTATTCTGGACTATGTTACTGGAGAACATTTCAACCCCTGCAAGTGAATCCTAAGCAACATATAAATATAGAACTACCCAATAATAAGCATAGTAAGAAATGAAAACATACACAAAATTGACTTTCTGCATGAGCTGTTCTCCTGTATGATTCAGTAAGGGTAAATGCATTTATGCATGGAGGATCCTTGATCTTATAATCAAGGGTTTACAGCACAAAGAGAGCTTGAACAAGTGACTTTTTGAACTACAACTCCCAGAATTCCACCTGCTAACTCAGGAATTCAGGGAACTGTAGTTCAAAAAAGTCACTTTCAAAAAGCTTTTTGAACAGGAGACTTGGATAAATAATCTTCAGTCTAAACAGACCATATTTTCACTCCAATTAAAATGAGGATGCTTTCCCATCTGTTCAACAGTAGCAATGGTAATAGTATTTATATTTCTATATCACTTCATACTGAACTAAGTACTTTCTAAGCGGTTTACAACATGTAAGCTAATTGCCCCCAACAAGCTGGGTATTCATTTTTGTGACCTATGGAAGGATGTAAGGCTGAGTCAACCCTGTAGTCAACCAGTAGAATACATAAATGCATCTAAGGAAGTAGACTGAAGTCTACGAAAGCTCATGCTGCCAACTTTTTTTTTCCAGTTAGTCTCAAAGGTGCTACAAGATCTCTCTGTAGTAGAATACATAGACATTGTCAGAAAGGACAGCTTTCAGTGAGACCTTTTGTACTGCTTCAGATATGGAATTGGAAAACCACAAACTCTTCCTTGACCCTCTTCAGGAAAACTGGAAATTCATATGTCTGGAACATTTATTTCTACCTCAGAGAAGCCTGTGTGGGATATTTGGAAACACAACTGTTTCTCTTCCAAACAAGAATAAAGCTAAATTCTGGGGGTGGAGAAACTGGAAAGAACACATAGATATTTCTTGGGATTC